TATATATATATATATATATATATATATATATATATATATATATATATGAACAAGCGCCACCTCCTGGCAGCTGTAGGGGTTGCTTTCCCTCTTGCCAGCTCCAGCTCACAGTGGCTGATCACTAAGCAGTTCCACATCAGAGAGGCTGGAATGGAAGGAACCTGGATTGTAAAGTAGTGCTCACTTGCTGAAAGCAATACTAAAGGGGGCTGGAGAAGTGCTCAGGGGCTAAGAGCATGTCTACTCCTACAAGGGACCAAGTTCACTTTCAGCCTAACAACCTCCTGGTGACTCCAGCTCCAGGACGATCTGACACCTCCACCAGCACATGCATTCACAGGCCCCCATAATTAAAAATAAAATAAATCTTAATAAGAAAATAGCAAAGGGTCTAATTAATCTGGAAGGCAGTGGTCCTCTGAGCAAGAATCTGAACAACTAACTACTTCCCTGAAAGTAAGCTAACAAAGGTACTCTTTCAACATGAAGCACAAAGGCACAGCTACCATTCCAAACATTCATGGACCAGGGACAGTGAAAACAGAGACCCTCACAGACATGGTTCAGCAATTGCCAGATACTCTCCAGTGTTCTCTCCTCTTCCCCCTAATCCAACCGAACTCTAGTGCTCAGAACACACAGCCACACAGAATTAAGACATTTTCTGGACTGGCAAGTGGGGTCATCAGGTAAAAGTTCTCAATGTGAAACACTGAGTTCAACCTGTGGTACCTGCAGCTGAAGGAGAAGAGAGAACCTTGTGAAATCCATGCTGCACATGTCAGTGCAAGTGCACACACTCTTTTAAAAACAAACAAAAACAAACAAAAAAAAAACCCAAAAAGATTCCATTCTCATCCTCTTTAAAAGAGACCAGGCATGTGAACCTCAGCACTTCCTTTCTCCATGTTGCTGGAACACAGACATATTGCTAAAGTTCTAGCTGTCAAGGGGGAACGAACCACACCCTGGAAATGACAACGTGGTAAGCAGAGGAGCCAGGGCTCTTGTGCTGTCTTCCCAGGCTGCTGCTACTTGCAAACTGCCTGCTCTAGATTTTATTTCCAGGAGAAATAAACCTCAGTCCTGTTTAAGCTAACCTTCTCTCTCCAATTTTCTCTCATATGTCGTTGGATCTAATCTGGCGATACAGACACCAATAACAAAGACCATAAAATTAATTCAGTGTCTCTTCAACAAGCTCCCAAGAACAGGAAAGACTTCCTGTCTGCTGTACCCCCAGCACTTACCCCTAGAACACCATCTGACACTAATCACTTTCCTTGTCTGAGAAAGAGCGGTACCCTCAGCTGATGTGTCTTCTATTTTAGTAAGTCTCTGTAAGGTTAGCAACCCAAGAAAACGAGTTCACAGAACTGGCATCTGTGACACATGAGCTCAGCAGTCTGGGTAGAAGGCTGTGTGCAGGGTCTAGAAACAGCTCTCCAGCCTCAGAGCCACTTTATGGAGTTGTCTTTAGCATCTCTGTTTTGCAAGAAAGTGGGGCATTATGTAAAGGTCAGGGGCTGGAGAGATGAGCTGAACTGCATGACAACCACAACACCCACATATGGATAAACCAGGAAGCACACACACAACAAAGGAAGAAGTAAGGTGTGAAGCTACCTGTTTAGATAATGACGGATAGGGGCACTAAGAAGTGTGTGACTGGAAGATGTAAGTAGGAAATTCAATCTGAAAAGCTCTATCAAAATTTCATAACTTTAGGGCCAGTGAGTATGCAGATACTATGTGCCATGCTCCGGAGCCCTCATCAATTCACCAAAGGGAGTGATGTCACCCCATGGCACTAAGCCAGGGCAGCCAAGCTTGCACTAGCCAAGACGCTGCGGCTGCTGGTTCCACTCCCTGCCCCTCCCATTTCCCTGGCAAAGGGACAGAAGCTGATGTAACTGCACAGAAGCAAAGGAAGGAAAAACAAGCTTCTGAACCACATTTGAAAACCCACCAAACTTCCTGTAATTTGAAAGTTCTTTGTTCTCAGAAGGATTCATGTCTTTAACCCTAAAATAACTTTTATTGTATTTTAATGACCCCTCCCACAAAAATAATCTCCCTATTCCTGAATGTAATCATCTTTGCTAGAATCCTAAACAAACTAGTCAGAAATGAAGGATTTCTCTTCTTTGGGGTTTTTATTAAACCTGTCAACAAGAGCAGACATAGGATCTCCATGGGATTCCAGAAACATGGGCTTGAGGTTTATATAAAAAAAAAGTCCCCAAAGACTCTGTCCCTAGCTGGTGGCATTACTGAGGTATGACTGGATGGAAAAGGCATGAAGCTCTCAGTGAATTTCTACTCACGCGCTCCCGACTGAAGAATTCTTAGAAGGGGGACCTACCTGAAGGAGCAGGCACTGTAGGCATGCTTTTGAAGGCTATCCTTTCCCTTCTCTACCCATCTTTGCCTCCCTTCTGCAGTGATGGATGGCCTCATCACAGGTGCAAAAACAGCCACGTGACCATAGACTGAGACCTCTGAAACCATAAGCCACAACAAAGGAAATCTTCCTACCAATAAACAAGCTCTCTTTCAACAAAACAAAACAAAACAAAACACAACTCTATGTAGTTGTGTCTGTCCTGGAACTTGCTATGTAGATCAGGATGGCCTAGAACTCACAGAGATCCACCTGCCTCTGCCTCCCAGTATACACGGGGATTAAAGGCGTGCACCACCACATTAGGCCAAGTGTTTAATTTTAAATGTATTTATTTATTTATTTGTTTGTTTGTTTATGTTTGTGTGTGCATGTACTTGAGTGCCTGACTATATGTACCCTATATGTATGCTAGTGACTAGATCTCCTGGAAATGAGAATTACAGATACTTGTGAGCCTCTGTATAAGGGTACTGGGAACTGAACCTGGGTCCTCTGCAAAAGCAGCAAGAACTCTTAACTATTGAGCCATCTTTCCAGCCCTTCAAATTATTCTTGATAACTGAATCTCAATAACTGAAAGAAGTATTTCAAAACAAAAGCAAACTCTATGCTGAGTAAACCCTCATGGCTAAAAAAGAAAATGGCTCCAATAATCCAAAGAGACTAGCGAATTTTACTCACATTTCCGCTCCAGATTCCTCATTTCCTCTGGTGGAATCTTCATTTTGTCGATATGCTCACGTAAAACACTAGCCCATTTCTGGAGAGATTCCATTACAGTCCAAGGTCTAGACATGTCTGCAACAAAAATGACCAGGGTCTCCGGCAAAGATTCAGCCGAAACTGCAAATTTTAGCAGGCCTTTGTGGTAGAGGTCTCCGTCTAAAATCCACACGTTGCAACGTGTGTGATCTGGGGAGAGAAATGAAGCGACATTATCACTCCACAGTGACTATCTGTATAGCTATGAGAACAGCATTAGGAAGGGAATGAATTCACACAGAAATCCTAGCCCAGCAGAGCCAAATACCCAGCGGCCAGCAAATTGGCCTAGTACAGAATGAATTGCCTAGGCTTTTAAAAGTTTAGATTACCACAACAGGACAACGCTATAACTAAATAAGATTTCCACAAACTCTAAGGAGCAGAGTGAAAGGAATCAGCTTTCAGTAACAACCAAAGGATACAAACATTTACTGACGGACTGTCCCTCAGTCAAAACAGTCTACTGTCCTAAGACAGCAGGAATCTGCGAGCTGGTGAACAAGCTGACTACACACACCCTTTTGGGTATGTCACACTAAGCAACTATGGTCATTCTGTTTGGATAGCTTTTAGGTATACTTAGAGAAGTATTTACAAATGAAATGTTATTAATGTCTGAAAATAATCCAAGTGGACTAAAGGGAAATCTTAAGATATAGCTGAAATAAAATATACCAGTAACTGGTAACTGACAATTCAACTATAGAGACAATTCTCTAAATTAATAGGATATTTTTAGAAAATTTCAAACATGTTCTTTGAAAAAAATTTTTTTTATAAAAGTACCTTAAGAAAGGGAACGCCTAACTTCTAAACATAATTTCATTAACTTCTTTTCCAACAAAGACTTTTAAAAAAATCTACCTTCCTTGTTGATATAACCAATTTATTAAGATCTATAAAAATGCACTTTGACAAATCTGAGCATAAAAGTATTTACACCTAGCTGTACTTCCAACCTATTTAAAAATTTTGAGATTTAGTTTGATTACTTTTTAATGATATAAATATACAAATGTGTGTGCAAAGAAGAGCAGGTGCTCTCAGGGACTAGAGCTTGGAGCTCCTGGAGCTGAAGTTATAAACACTGAGAGTCCCTGACATGGTGCCAAGATGGGACCTCTGGAAGAGCAGCAAGTGATCCATCTCTCCAGCTCCTACTTAAAATGTTTTATAAGATTTAGTCAGTTACATATGCTCCTTAGAGTAGGAGCGGAGGGACAGTCGAAGGACGCCTGTGGAGAGTCAGGTCTTTCCTTCCATCACGTTGGTCTCAGGGATCAAACTCGGGCATTCTCGGCAGCAAGTGACTTTACCTGCTGGGCTACCTCCCTGGCCCCAAAACTCCAATATATTTTAGTGTTTTGTTTGGGTCTGTGAATTGACTCCAAACATACTCTGTACTCAAAGTCTGAGGTTTATGTGCCTACCCATCAGCAAGCTTAGGTTCTTTCTTCAGCTGTTCTTGCCAGGGTCATAACTCCCCACGTGTGGGGTCACACATCCATGCAGCATTAGACAGATGACCTAACTGTGAGACAGTGGTCCTTCGACATGCAATGTCCTACTATAACCTAGATACAACCAGAGACTGTTTTCTTTAGCAGATGATTGCCTGTGAAATGTGAACTTACAACCCAGTCATACCCCACAATTAAAAAGACAAGGGCTCAGAGATGTATAATTAACCTCAGGTAAGGGCAACAATTCCACCAAACAAGGACTCCTAAGTAAGCAGCCGAAAGAAAAAGTCCTGTAAACGCAAAGGAAAAAGCTTTCATAGTAACCTGAAAGGAATCTGAACTTGATGTTAGCATAAACTTCAATTCAAAGACAAGTAAATGCAGTTACTGGGACACACTGTCCTGACACGTGCCTCAGTCTTGGAAACACCAGAGGATAAAGAGATTCAGAGCAACTATGCCCCAGTCTGCCCTTTTACAAGGGCATGGAAGCTTTCAACTTGTCTCTAGGGCTCTTCTCACACTCTGTCCACCTGTATAATGTACCATCATCCTCTTCCTCATGTGAGGAAACAGAAGTGTTGTTAAGGTAGTAACCAGAAGCCACATAACTGCTGAACACAGGAGTGGCATTCTGAACCAGTTCTGTCTGGCTCCCAAGCCCAGGGACTTCCCACAAAACCCATGGTGGCCTGCAGAGGCAGGAAGCAAAAGCTGCAAACATGCAAGGTCCTCTAGGCTTGGCTTAGCAGCATTAGTCATACAGTAACAGATTCTACTGGGCCTAGACAGACATTCAGTGCTTATTTTTCTGACAGAAAACAGAGGCCTAGACACCAGGCCTACTTTCTGCCTTCTTTTCAGGAGCTTTAAGGAACGTTCAAAAAGACAAAGTCAAGGGAAGAGGGATAAAATCCCTGGAGATCTAAGTTAGCACACAGAGGTGTCCAGACTTCAGGAAGAACCCTTATCCATGTCCTTTACTGAATAGCTCTTACAGATAACAGAACTGTAGTGCTAGAGGCTTTTGATTTATCTTCTTCAAGTTTGCAATAAGGAAGCAGGAGAATTTATAAAATCACCCTAACATAATGATTATTAGTACTTAAATGGATAAAGGCAAACATAAAAAATGAGAGTTAACCAATACATTTCATCTTTAGACTACAAACTTTCCAACAGGACAAAAAGACCTACCAATAACTATTCCACAGTCACTAAGAAGGCTGAACATAAAACCTGAACAATTATAAAGGAGTCATTACAGAGCAGCTGTAACCAACAAGAACTGGTCCATTTGCCTCAAAACTTTAAGACTGTCAAAGTGGTACCTAATCCTCTTGTTTATCACACGCTTGTGAGTATAGTAAGGACTGTGCAGGTAGAAACCATTACTTCACTCTATTTTTAGCGATGAGGAACTAAAGGGATTATACTTCTGATGCTCTGGATCTTTCACCAGAAGAAACACAGGCTATTAGCATCTCAAAATTCACAGACTCAGAACGCAATTCCGTGAAAGGACTCTCAACTGGTACTGAGTCACATTGATTTCCGACTTTCCACTAAATCCAGGCAGAGCAACAACATGCCGCACAGAAAACGCCAAGGCTTTAAAAAGAAAACCGAGAACAAGAACCCCGGTTACTACTGTTATGTGAAAGCAAAACTTTTAATTTCAGTACCTCAACATTCAGGCTAACACAGAAGTCCTTAACAGTCTTAGCCCTCATTTTTGCAAACATGCACTACAGATCAAGCGTGGAGCTTGGAGAGATGACCACATGGGTAAAGAGTACTTGCTGCACATGGATAAGGACCGGAGTTCCTATCTCCAGCACTACTGAAACAAGCCATACAATCCTGTAACCCAGTGCTGTGGGGGTGGAGGAAGAAAGACTGCTGGGGCTTGAAGGCACCTAGCCTAGCTCCAGGTTTAATTAGAGACCTTGTCTCAAATGAGTTAGGTGAGGAGTGATAGCACAGGAAACCTTATATCCTCCCTCTGGCCTCAGAGAGCATTCTTGGGCAGGAGAGGGGTATGGGCACACACCACACACACACACACACACACACACACACACACACACACACACACACTGACACAGAAATAAAAATTAAAAAGAAAGTAAAAATAGGGCTTGCCAGGTACTCCTTTAATCACAGCATACACTGTGACCACTAGAATTTAAATGGATAAAGGCAAACATGAAGAATAAAAACTAATCAATACACTTCATATTTAGACTACAGAACAAAAGACCTAGACAGTGATAGTATTGACAAAGCTGAACAAATAAAACCTGAAAAAAATTATAAAGGAGTCATTACAGAGTAGAATTCAAGGCCAGCCAGGGCCACAAGATGAGAGCCTGTTTCAAAACAAAACCAAAAACCAAACTAAGCAAACAAACAAACAAAATGAATAAAGTGCAAATGACACACATTTTACCTTTGGTCCTAACAGAAAGCTGAGAGTGCCTGACATGTAGGAGTCAGAGTCCTGCATGCTACCTTTACGACGGTACCACGTCACTCACCATCGCGGTCTTCATCATGAATGCTGAGGTAAAGATACTCTAAGCCTCTTCCTTTTTTGCCGTGCTCTGCTCCTTGCAGTTTGCTCATGAGAGTTGTTTTACCAGAACCATCTTCACCTACAAATGACATTTGCAAGAAGACAAAAGCATACTGTACATCATTCTAGGCAAAGCTGGCCAGTCGTAACATCATCACAATAGAGAACAACTGGGAATCTCAGGGCAGCCTGCTGCTAGGGTCTCATCCGCTCTAAGACCGAAGCAGAACTGCTCTAAGAGCGACTGGGTTGGCCAAGGCAGCCAACCCAAGATCCCCAATGACTTCGATTGCAATTCTCTTCACTCTACAAGGGAAGAAATGAGGCAAATCCACCAGCTCTACCTATAACTTCTAAGACAGACACCCAGAGAAGTGAAATGTGGGGCTAGTTTCTCACGAAATAAATCTTTGCCACAGTAAAAGTAAAAACACAAACTCTTCAAAACACAGCTAACCCCAAATGTCTAGAAACACTGAAATAAAAACCTGATTCTGCCTCATAATTATGAGGCTTATAGATATTATTTACATATCTTTGATTTTAAAAAACAACTTCACAAGCACCCTAAAGGCTTGGAAACTAGAGGGAAATAATTACTGACCTAAGCAAAACTCCTAAGTACAGTCTCAGTACCAAGAGCTTGCTCACCTGCCTCAGACTATCTACACCAGCACTCTCCCCCACAGGATGAACTAGGACCATCATCACCCAACATCACTGGGCATTCGTGGACTCAGTAACATGGAACTAGAGGACATAAGAAATGAAAGGCAGCCCACAGAGGTCCTTTCTCCTCCACAAAGCCTCACCTTTTTAATGCTGGCCACAATCTGTCTGGACCATGGTGAGTGCTTGTCAGCCTGATTTCAGCACCTGCTCATTCCAATCTACCTGGTACTCCAAAGCCTGAGTTATTTCCCTAATGCACATATCTGGCTATAACCTACCACAGAGGCCGTCCCTTGGATGAGAGAAACACAGGGAAACCACCGTGCAGTTATTTCCATGAAGCTTGGGGAAGGGTGGAGGAAGATAAAAATGTGTGAAGATCAGGAGTCTTCAGGAAAGAGGATTAATTCTTCAGTCCTTTATGATCTGACCTCGACTTACCCTCTACTGCAAACAAACAAACAAACAAACAAACAACCTAACAGTGTCCAAATTCTTCACCCTCTTGTTATGGCTATGTGCTTGTATCTAGACATTTACCCTGCACAACACCCGACTCCACAAGTTCTCTTTCAACACATCGAAGCAGTGTGATGCGCCCACAACAGCCTGCTCTTGACAGCAATGCTGCAGTGCAACGGCGCGCACATCCGCCTCTGCTAGACTGGGATTCTTTCTGAGTGTTAAGTCTGTGCTGTCCCACTGCTCAGCCCTCAGCGCCAACTCCACAACAGCGTTGCAGGTAATGCACATAATCCTTTTCATTTGTATGAGACATCTGAAGCTAGAGAGGTTCAATGACTGACTTGGCAACCTAGCAGTGAGGGCAGGAGTAACGCAAGAAAGTTCCTGGGGCTGAATCCGGAGGTCTGCTACCTTTGGGCAGTCACTTAATGCTTCTGCTGAACTGCTCATGAGGACTGGAGAAAGGCTTCGTCCATCGCCTCAGTTCCCAGCCCAGACCACCTAGTTCCCCCACTTTCTCCACCCAGCCTGCACATCCTTTTTTGGCTAAGCGACGCACGGTGTCAAGGCTGAAGGCTCAACCAAATGATTTAAGGAATGTGCCGTAAGCCCACGCCACACCACAGGAGTCCAAACGGAGCTGCACTCTAGGGGCTCAGTAGAGACGTGTGCCCAGCTAGAGTCCAGCGAGCCTTCCCAGGCGAGTGACAAGCAGGTGGCAAGGGTGGAGAGGGCTGGAACCGGTGGGAGAGGCGCCGCCCGGCCCACCCCAGCGCCCCAGGGCAGTACCCGGCTGCTCACCGAACACCAGAATGTTCTTGCCGGACGGCAGCTTGGATCTGGCGCGGGTGGACACTTCGCTCAAGATCGAAGACCTGCGGCGACAATGACAAGAGTGGTGAGCGCGGGACCGCCCTGGACCGCTCGGCCTGCCACTGCCCGTCAATGTCTGCCCACAGTGTTGCCCTCTCCGGCCCGCTCCCTGGCCGGCCGCACCATCCGCGGCTCGGTACGCTCCTCACCATAGACTCTGGCCCTCCTCCTCCTCACTGGTCAGGTCTCCGGCGGCCGCCACCGCGGGCCCGTTGGGGCCCAGCAACAGCTTCTTCTCCACCCCCACCGGCGCCATCTTGCCAACTGCAGCCACAAAGAGGGCCCTCCCCCGGGCCCGCCGAGGACCCGCAAGGACCCCGGCCTGGCCGAGCCGCCCGCCCGCAACGTCGCAGAAGCTTCGCTTTCCAGCGCGTCCCGGCGGGCCGGCGATGTCCGCGTGCGCCTGCCGGTCGCGGGATCGCCGCAGCCGGGGACGTCGCTGGGTCAGGCAGCGAACCGGACAGCCTCACGCGGGAGGTGGAGCCGCGGGCGCCGCCCGACCGAGGGCTCGCTGGCGACCCCTGCAGGCGCAGACGCCGCAAGCCCAAGCTTTGGCGTGAACTCGGGCTCACGTTTACGTGGGAGAGTGTCACAAGCGGCCTCACTGCATCTTGCTTAGCTCTTAATAAGTGAGGCGAGAACGAAGCGTCACAAAACCTGACCGGGCATGACAGGTTTGCATGTCTGTCATCCCAGCAATGAGAAGCTGGCGGCAGGGGGATCAGAAGTTCAAGGTCTTAGACTACATGGCAAGTTTAAGCTGCATGAGCTACGTAAGACCCTGCTTCAAAAAATTTTTGTTTTAATGGTTAGATGTGGTGGCACACGCCTTTAATCCCAGCACTTGGGAGGCAGAGGCAGGAGGATCTATGTAAATTTGAAGCCATCCAGGTCAACGTAGCAAGTTCCAGGCTAGCCAGGGTTACATAGGGAGATCCTGTGTACTGGCTGGTTTTGTGTGTCAACTTACACAAGCTAGAGCCATCAGAGAGGAAGGAGCCTCAGTTGAGGAATGCTTACAATGAAATCCAGATGTAAGGCATTTTCTGTTAGTGACCCATGGGGGAGGGTTCAGGCCACTTCTGGTGGTGCCATCCCTGGGCTGGAAGTCCTGGGTTCTATAAGAAAGCACACTGAGCAAGCCATGTTGAGCAAGTCAGTAAGCAGCACTCCTCCACGGCCTCTGCATCAGCTCCTGCCTCCAGGTTCCAGCCTTGCTTGAGATCCTGTCCTGACTTACTTTATTAATGGACTATGATCTGGAAGTGTAAGCCAAACATACCAACCCCCCCACCCCCGACACACACACACACATTTGCTTTTTGGTCATGGTGTTTCATTACAGCAATAGAAACCCTAAGACTCAGTATTAGAGGCAGCATCCTACTTCCACTCATATTCATTAGTTTTATTATTTATTTTTATTGTGTATAGGTGTTTTGCCTGCATGTATATCTGTGCATGTGTGTGTGCAATGCCTATGGAGGGCAGAAGAGGGTGTCTGATCCCTTTGGAACTGGAATTACAGATGGTTGTGAGCTGCCATGTGGGTACTGGGAATTGAATGCAGGTCCTTTGGAAGAGTAGTCAGTGCTCTTAACCACTGTGCCATCTCTCCAGCTAATGTCCATTATTATTAAAATTATTATATAATGAAACTGGCATAATTCTCAAGATGTTCATTGAAAGTTAATCACAAATCCCAGGATGTTGTTTTTCACCTCCTCCTTTGTAGACTGTGATTTTTACTAGTAAACAACGCTCTTGGCTTTGCTTCACCAAGTTTTGTTTTTAATACTGTTTTTCAAGAAGTCAACATTTGAGAGCAGAACAAGAGGCTGTAGCTGCTTTTCTTCAGTGAAGGTAGTACAGAGACTAGATGTGAAAGGGTAAAGAAGCTGTGCGAAAGGGGAGAAGTAATGGAGAAAAGAAAGACATGTTTGTGTTCTACCTGGGGGCTCTTGCTGTTCTCTATGGAAGCAGGTTAACTTTACAAGGCGTTGATAAGTATCATAAGGAAATGTGATGTGGCAGAAAAAGCCATCGCCGAAGTAAGTTTGAGATGAAAAGGATAGTGATTCTGGCTCAGCCAAAAATTAGCAGCATAAACTACAGGATCCAACAACGGGTATGTAATTTGCCAACTTGAATGTAAATTGGAAAAGGAAAATGGGAGAGAAGAGCAGGTAAGTTGGAGGTGATCAAAGAACAAATAGTATATGAGTTTTCACAGGACAGCAGAGCTGAAATCACTGAGCCCGTGAGTTTAATCCCCACCACATGAGATTCTTTAATGTGATCTGTGCTGAAATGAGAAGATAGCACCAGATGCAAATGCATATATTAGCTTTCTTTTCTTGCAGGAATATCAGGTGGGAGGATGGTGCAGACATAGGGAATGCAAATGTGAACAGAGAATTTGACAATTCACAACAAAAGAGGATAAAGATACAGACTGGATGATAGCACTGAACCTTGTTAAAGACCATGCCAGCCCAGTGTGATGATGCATGTCTATAGTCTCTATAGATGGAGACTAACAGAGGAAGAGGTTGAATTCAAGGCCAGTCTGGTCTGCATGAGACCATGTCTGAAAAACTAAGAGGAGACTGGCCTGGGGTGGAGAGAAGGGCTACCAGAGTTGCTCAGGCCTCGCATAGCCAATTCAGGTGCCATGTGTGACTGGGAGGAGAACACAGCAGCACATTCATATTAAGCAGAAACAGAAGTGTTTCCAAAAATACTGGATGACAAACAGCACAGACTAAATCTAACAAAATGAGAAATTTAGCAGGAGCTCTTAAAAGTCTGATAGTAGGTTTTAACAAAACCATACCATGGGCTGGAGATAATTGACAGAGTGCTGGTACGGAGTTGTGTTCTTAGCATCCCACAAACTGGGTGTGGTGGCAGAAACCTGTAATCCAACACTTGTGAAGCTAAGGCAGGGGGATAACTAGTTCAAAAAGCAGCCTGGGCTATGTAGTGAGATTTTATCTCAAAAACGAAACTAGGGTTGGGGCTGTAATTTAGTGGGAGAATACTTGACCAGCAAACACAATGTTCTAGGGTCAAGCCCCAGATCAGGTAAACAAAAACAAAGGCATTCACTCTGAGCTATATACTAAGTGCAAGGCCAGCCTGGGCTACTTAAGACCATATCACAAATAAACCCAATTGGATAGGAATTATTTGAAAATGACTCCAATTCTAATGTAAAAGGTTTAACTATATTCACTATGATTGGAAAGTTGGTCACAGAGAATGTCAAAAGACATCAAAATTAGGTTCATAAAATTGGGTTTAGGAGAGAAGTTGAGCCCCTTCTCAGGCCATACATTACAAACAGACAATATCTCCAGCAGTGACTAAGCTCATCAGAAGATATGACCCTGTTATGTCTCAGCATGAAAAAGCTAAGGCTCATTAACATGAATGAAAAAAAATGTGAACAGACAGGAGGTGGAAATGAGAGACACTGTAAACCAACTAAAGCAAAGGTCCAGCAAGATGACTTGGTGAGTAAAGAAAGGCATTTTCTGCCTACCCTGACAAACCCTGAGTTCGATTCCTAGGATCCACAGTAGAAGGAAAAAAGTAACTTCTGCAAGTTGTTTCTTCTGACCTTCACATGTGCCCATATACACAGTAAATCAATGCAATGCAATGAACAAATAAGTAAAACAAATAAACAGACCAAAAGGAGAAGAATCTGATCACAGAATATGGGAGTGCTAATACAACTTCATAATTAACATTAATAAGAGAAATCATGGCTGGGAGGTGGTGGCACAGGCCTTTAAACTCAGCACTAGGGAGGCAGAGGCGGGTGGATCTTTTTGAGTTTGAGGCCAGCCTGGTCTACAGAGCAAGTTCTATGACAGCCAAAGCAACACAGAGAAATGCCGTCTAGAAACAAACAAACAAACAAACAAACAAACAAATACAAAGGAGAGGAGGAGGAATCATTTCAATTAACAAAATGTCAAACATTTATTTGTTGGGTGAGAGCCTTCATTGAACAGCTTGAGAAACTTTTTGATTTCTAGGGTGGACTTTAGCACTGGGCAAAAATACTGAATTGCAAATGTCTCATATAGTATTTGTGGCAATATGATGACAGGTGATGTTTAAAGGCTATTTTTTTTCCCTTCTGATCTATGTTCTTTGGGCATAAGGAAAAGTAAAAGGAATATTACATAATCCATTAGATAGATGGATTTTTATCTAATTTTTACATTGAAAATGCATTTGCTTCATAAACTATCATAACCATATTGAAAAGTTTGTATCACAAAAATCATTTAACTTAAACTATCTCTGTTTCATCAATCCCTGTCTCATCAACAGAGTTAAGAACTTTGAACATTTTTGTATCTTCTAAGAAATTCTATTTTAAGAGTCCAAACCAAACAAACAAACAAACAAAAAAAAAAACAAAAACAAAAACAAAAAAAACCCAAAAACAACTGAATTTCTTCCAGTCACATGGCTGCACAGCTGTGGCCTCTCATGAGCTTGTGGTATTTGTGAGCAAGGTCTACAGCCCTTCTTCCTTTCTGAAAAGGGAAAGACCACAAAATTGAATTCCAATGATTTCCCATTTTTTTAACTCCATGGAAAAGATAATTTATTTCTTCTTTGGTAAAGTTTTTACGAATTCTTCTTTTTTCTGTAATGAATGAATTGCAGAATATATTAATTCTTGCTGAAATAAGAAATCTTAAGACTCAAATAAATGAGTAAGTTATTCTACAAATATAAACTACAGAATAAGACAGTTTGATGCCAGGGACACATATCAAATAGAAATTTACTTCAGTTTAAAAGACTCAGTTAGTAGTAGTAGTACGATTTCTTTAATGTTATAACTTAATCCATTGAAATAACATCCACACATATAGATCAAAAAATGAGTTTATAAACATTAGATTTTAATGCAGCATTGCTGAGAAGATGGTTAGCAAACAGCTTCCCTATTTTGCAGATAAAATCTTCTCAAAGGCTCCAAAACTTCACAGAGAATACCAACGCTTGTTATTATGAGTACTGGTTTTCATTGTTTTTAAGAATAAGAGTTTTTTGAAGTTCACTTAAAAAAACAAAACACATGTACTATTTATAAGGGTGCTGAGCTCATCAAAATATAAAAGCAAAATAGGTCACATAATGATAAGAGAAGTTTGTGGGTTCTCTTTTCTTTTCTCTTTGAGCCAGGCTTTTCCTATGTAGCCCAGGCTTGCCTCAAACTCACTATGTATTCCATGCTGGCTGAGAGCTCCAGCTTTTCCCTTAGCCTCTGGAATGCTGGTATCACAGGTGTGTGCCTCCAAACCTGGAAGTTTTTGACTGTCTGGTTTTTGACGAACAATTTCTACAACAGAAAGAACATAAGGTTTGTAAACAGTTATTTCAATTATTTTCTGGTGACTATTACTAGAAAATAGTTTTATTATCACTGTGTGCTGTGATGTGTATGGACACATTCCTGCATGTAGAGTTTGGAGAACAACTTTATGGAGTCATTCTTTTCCTCCACTTTGGGTTTTGAGGATCACACACCCAGGCTTAGTTGCAAGCACTTCTACTATTGATCTCTCTCTCCAGCCCCAGAAAATAGGTTTCTTCAACTCATTAGTTCAATAGTAACTTGTGTGGCATTGTAGGCAGATGCCATGGAGAAGAGCTTTTGTGTTTCTGCTTGAGGCTGCTACTTACTTTAGAAGGAATGATGTAGAAGGAATGGGTGTGTGAAAATTTACCCTTATCAGCCAACACTGGTAGATTTCTCTCCACCTTCCTAAGGTCAGTGTGTCAGGTTAAAACAAAAGAGGAGCTGACAAGTCAGTGTTAGTATTTAGTTAATACACAAATGCAAGCTCTGTGAAGGGAGAGGCTTCTGAGTAGGTTAAGTTACCACTGTACTCCCCAGGCTCAGAATAGTAACTCAGAGATAGCAGGCAATCATCAATATGTATTAAGAGAAAAGTTATTACTGATAAAACTGTCTCAAAGATCATATATTAAATTATTCCTTATTTTGGAAAATTGTGGTTACCCAAGTTTCTTTGAAGCTTCACTTGATAAATGACTTGATCTCCTTGTAATCAGAACTGGCTAGGTTATAACTTTTAGGAGACTGAGGCCTTTAAGTTGTTCACAGAAGGCCCCCTATTAGCACTATGGCTGCCATTTTCCTGACTTAGAAATTCCACAGAAGAGTACTAGGTAGCTTTGAAGAAGACCCTGCACTTCAAGGCTTCACCCCATGGCCTTCTGAGTACAATTTAAAACACTTTTAAATAATGTCATTATGATTTTAGAAAGTCTTGGTGTATAGCTCACACTTGCCTTAAACTTGTAAGCCTTCTGCCTTTGCTTCCCTAGTGCTGGGATTAGAGAAAAGAGTCACACACACACACCTAGCCTCAGGGCTATTCTTAATACCTATGTGTGGCAGAAGAGCAGAAGAAAACGAGCAACAGGGCTTGATTTAAAAGAGATTAAGAGTCAAATTAATACCTCAAAATACTCTTGCAAATTCTAATAAAGCAGGCCAAATTATTAACCGTTTATTTTCAGTTAACTAAACCTAACCTATAAAAATTAGTATTTGGCAATTGAGCTGAATGTCATTTGTCATTTAACAGTATTTAGGATCATTCTGTATAATTAATGCATAACCATAATTATGCCCATTTTCATGAGGCTGGTTATTTTCAATGTAAATTGATTATAATCTAATTTTTAGTTGTTATATATTTGCTTTGAAGACATATTACTGAAAAAAAATCTATTAATAATTTGATGTCAAGTCCTTGCCAAGACCATTTTTTTTTTTGGTTTTTCAAGAAAAAAATTTCTCTGTTGAACAGCTTTGGCCGTCCTGAAACTCACCTTGTAGATCAGGCTGGCCTGGAACTCACAGAGATCTGTCTGCCTCTGCCTTTCAGTGCTGAGATAAAAGGCATGCGCCACCATGCCTGGCTAAGAACAAAATTTCTAAGTGCAGTAAGTCTATATGGGACAAGATTCCCATTTTTGTAATAAATACTACAGAAATATTACTTGGAAAAATAGGCATTTCATGCCAGGAACAGTGCTGTTTCTCCATACCTAATATCCCAGCAGTTGGGAGACTGAACTATGTAGTATCTTAGAGTAGCCTTGTACTGATTTTAACTTACAAAGAGAAAAGTTCTCCCACTGAACCTGAAACTCACCCTTTGGCAGGACTGGATAGCCTGCCAGGCCTGGGAACCTGCCTATCTCTGCTCTCTAGCACTAGGATTATGGATGTGCCACCATGCCCAGCATTCATGTCCTTGTGCTTATACAGCGAGCATTCCACCTGGCTCATCTCCTCACTCCTTAAAATTTCTATAAGTTGCCAGCTGATGGAGGTGCATGCCTTTAATCTTGGCACTAGAGGCAGAAGCAGGCAGATCTCTGTGAGTTCAAGGACAGCGAAGGTTACACAGAGAAAAACTTTGTCTTGAAAAAACAAAAACAAAATAAAAATTTCTATAAACTAACTTATTAAGTATTTTTCTTTTTAAACATGAAATTAAGATTTATCCCATTTGTCTCTTCAATTTTTATCATTTAAAATACTATAGTTATGAACAAAAGCCTTCTGTAAGTCTCTCTGAAGGACTAGTAAACAGAATAATCTGCTTGAAATTCGAACCACATGATAGAGTGTTTCTAGACTTCTTGCATTTCAATCAAGATTTACCAGCTAACTACTAACATAATTAAAGGAAATAATATCAACAAGACATCTAACATATAGCAGATAATTGAATAAATGTCAGGGCTGGAGAGATAGCTCAGCAGTTAAGAGCACCAGATGACTAGGTGACTAGGGTTCAATCCCAGCACATACATGGCAATTTACAACCATCTACAACTCCAGTTCTAGGGGATCTGATGTCCTCTTTTGGCCTCAATGGGTAGTGCATGCACACAGTGTACATATAAAAAAATAAGTAAAAAGAAATGTCAGTTTCCTAGAGCTCCTTTCCCATGTAGCAAGTAAGCAAACACCACGAAGGGAGATAGAGATATCTCTTTTCAGTAGGTATAATCTCATATAAGCCAAGGGTTATTGTTTTGAGTAATTAATTCAGCTGATCTCTTCTTTTTAGGAATATGTTAAGCTTATTTAAAAATTAAATATATTCACTTAGTCCTTCAGAGGCAGTAGGTTCTTTACTAAGTAGTGGTCTTCTACGAGGCGTCAGCAAAATTTCTGAAAAACACAGAAAACATTTTGTATACTTCAAATAGTAATCTAAAAATTTACATATTATATTAGCTTATACTTATTACCTTCTTCTAGTAGGACTCCTTAAGTGAACTATAAATAATTTTGTTTATTTAGTATATTTCTTACTGTGTATGACTGTTTGGCCTGCATGTGTAACACATTTGTGCCTAGTGGCTGTAGAAGCCTGAATAGGGTGTTGGGTTTCCTAGAACTGGAATTAGAGATGGTTGTGAGCCACCAAGTGGATGCTGGAACCAAACCTGGGTCATCTACAAGAGCAGCCAGTGTTCTTAACTGGTGAGCCGCCTCTCCAGCAATCTCTTTTTTTGTTTTTCAAGACAGGGTTTCTCAGAGTAGCCTTGGCTGTCCAGAAATTAGCTATGTAAACCAGAACGGCCCTGAACTCAGGGATCTTTCTGCCTCTGCCTCCTGAGTACTGAGATAAAAGACATGTGAAACCACACCCAAAGGCTGAGAATATAGGTGTGTGCTACCATGCCTAGTTTAGGAAGAATATTTAATACACTACAGACTAAATCTACTGTAGCACACCTTAAGTTACTGGTTATCTAGAGATAGGTTTTTCTTTTCAACATTATTTTGTACTCTAGTCAACAAACTTATTTTAGTTTTAATATTTATAGTTCAGAATATATAGCCATAATTAAAGTTGCTGAAATAATTACTTTTTTCACAGATAAATGCTTTCCTTAGTTCATTTTTATATTTGTCTTCGGCTTCCATAATGACTTTATGATGATCACATTGGTATGCACAAGAGTGCAAAAGCTTGCTAAAATTGCGGCTGTTGAGGAGTTTTCTTACTACTATACAACCTGGAAGAGAACAAATTAAGTTGATGTATAGATGTTACAAAATTATGTACTAATAACTCTGTGAAATCAGATACCTCTATGATGATAAATTAAAGTGCAACTCAGAATATATAAGTATTTCAAGAAACCCCAATCATCTCAGAGAGTAAAGAAAATAAATACAAAGAAATAGTTTTGGGGTAGAGGTGTGAATAGTCATGGCCACACAGAAAAGAAACATCCAACTCATTATAGTGACATGCCTATAACCCTAACTACTCAGGAGGGCAGGGTAGGTGGTTTAAAAGTTCAAGGCTAGCTTGGGCAGTTTAGTGAAAGCTGTTAAAACAAGTTAAAGAGCTACTACAGGTCAGTGTACAGTGTACATTGGGTGTGTGCAAAGCCCTGGGTCCAACTCTCAGTACTGAAAAAGAAAAGGAAAGGACTAAGGATGAGCTCAGTTGGTAGACTATTTGCCTAACACACGCAAAGCCCTGGATTAAGTCCCTAGCTCAGCATAAAATTGTGCACACATCTGTAGTCCCAGCATTTAGAAGGTAGAGGCAGGAAGATCAGGTCATGGCTATCCTTGCTTATACAGTGAACTGGAGGCCAGTCTGAGCTATATGAGGCTCAGTCTCCAATAAATGAAATGAAAAAACAAACAAACAAAAAACAAGAAGCATCTACATTGATTTGGTTTTGAGCATTAAGGAAAGGTACCTAAAGAAGTTGCGGTGGTTTGACTGTAAGATACCCCATGTCTCAGATATTTGAATACTTGGTCTCCAGCTGGTGGTGCTGTTAGAGAAGGTTCAGGAAGTGTGTCACCGGAAGTGGGCTTTGAGAATTTAAAGACTGGTGCTATTTCCTATGCATTGTCTGCTTCCTTCTTGTAAGCTCTTAGCTCACATGGTGGTGATGGTGATAGACTCTTATCTCTCTGGAACCTTCCTTCTGTAAGTTGCCTTGGTCATGGTTTTATCACAGCAACAAAAAAGTAATACAAACTAATCTTTATGCTCAGTCATTTTTTTCTGTTTACTTCAAATATTATTTGGAAAAGTTTAAACACCTAAGAATAAAGGCCAGAGTATAACAAAGATCTCTGTATACTTTACCCAGTCTCATATTAAATCATAGAAAGTCAAGTTTTATTGATATCTCTGCCATTATAAAATACCCACAAAGGACAATGGAATCTGTATTAAAATATCATGTCATTTGTGAATACTTACATATCTCTAACATAAGGACTCTGCTTTTTAAATATACAAGACTACAACCTAAGAAAATAATGCTCACTATAATCTAACATAGTGCCTGTCTTAGCTAGGGTTTCTATTGCTGTGAAGAGACACCATGACCATGGCAACTCTTGTAAAGGAAAACATTTAAATGCGGCTGGCTTACTGGGTCAGAGGTTTAGTCCATTATTGTCATGGCAAGCTTGGTGGCACACAGGCAGACATGTGCTGGAGGAGCCAAGGGTTCCTCAGATGAATCAGCAGGCAACATTACAGCAGTTTGAATAGGAATGGCTCTCATGTGTTTGAATACTCGGCCCACAGATAGATACTATTAGGAGGTGTAGCCTTGTCGGAGGAAGTGTGTCACTGTAGCCGCCGGCTTTGAGATCCCCTATGCTTTAACTATGCCCAGTGTGACACACAGTCCATCTGCTGCTTTCAGATCAAGATGTAGAACTCCTTCTCCAGCTCCCTCTCCAGCACCATGTCTGCCTACATGCTGCCATGCTCCTTGCCATGATGGTAATGGACTAAACCTCTGAACCTGTAAGCCAGCCCTAATTGTTTTCCTTTTGAGTTGCTGTGATCATGATGTCTATTCACAGTAACAGACACCCTAAGACAAACAGGAAGAGAAAGACACTGGGTCTGGCTTGAGCATTTGAAATCCCACAGCACACTTCCACTGACATACTTCCTCCAATAAGGCCATATCTACTCCAACAAGGTCACACTTCCTAATGCTACTCCTTAAACATTTACATATTTGAGCTTGTGGGACCCAATCTCATTCAAATCACCACAGTGCCCAAATTTCCCCATCACTTCATTTTGTTTGCTTTGTTTTGGGGAGAGAGGGCTTTTGCTAACAGCCCTGGATAGTCTTGAACTTGCAACAATGTTCATGCCTTAGCTTTTTCAGTATTGAGACTGCAAGCCATGTCATGCCTAGCTCAAAACCAAAACCTCTCCTTTTCTCATTTCTACCTTTCTCTCCCCTCCTTGCTCTCCTTTACTTTTGTTGTTTTTGTTCCAAAGTTTTTTCTTACAATTGGTTCTCTGAATCATGATTCAAACAAGACCCATCATTACATTTGGTTATCACTTTTGTTTGTGGTACTGGGGATCAAACTCAGGGCCTTACATACCAAGTATGTGCTCACCACTAAGCTTATCCTCAATAAGCTTAACTTAAATCTATTAGTTAACTTAAATCTATCAGTTGTCTTCTCTTCCCTCCTTGCCCATTTACTTGTGAAAGACCATAGGTCATTTGTGCCATGGCTTCTCAAAGGCCAGGATTTGTTGGTTACCTCCTAATCGTGTCCTTTAAAGATGTTATTGCAGAGCCATGTGATTTTTACCTACAATTTCAACATTCAGGAGTCTTGAATGTATGAAGACCATGAGTTTCAGGCCAGTTGGGGTTATATAGTGAGACCCTGTCGACAGACAGACAGACAGACAGATAGATAGATAGATAGATAGATAGATAGATAGATAGATAGATAGACTGACTGATTTAAAAAACAGTAAGATGTTCTTATGTACTCTGCTAACGATTGATCAGATTCATGTTCAAGTGTTTTGCTAAAATGCCTCATATATAGAACTTTGTACTTCTCATTGTGTCATATTAAGGGGCAGGGGAGTATCTGTATGTCCACACATTTATGCAGGTGAACGTGTACATGTATGTGTGTATATGCATGTGGAAGTCAGAGGTCAACCTCAACTGTCATTTCTCAGGAGCCATCCATCTTTTTTGGGGCCATGGGGAGAAAAAAATCTAGGACCTGGGGAGCTCACCAACTTATTCCCACCTTCTTAGCACTAAGATTACAAGTCTGCACCAGCTTTGTACATGGCTGCTGAGGTGGAAATCAGTTCTGCTAGGCCAAGCTTGTTACCATCTCAGCTATCTCTGCAGTGTCTTCTCTCTCCCCCTCCCCCTCTGTCTCTCATATTCAGATTGAGCAGTGAGAAAAGAAATGTCAGCCACAGTTTACATTTATTGGGGTTGACACATGTGGTTTGAATGAGAATGGTCCCCACAGGTTCATATATTTAAGTGCCTGGTCTCCAGTTAGTGGAGTTGTTTGGGAAGGATTAGGAGGTGTAGCCTTTCTGGGAGATGTGTGTCACTGGCAGTGGACCTTGAGGTTTCAAAAGCTCACACCAGGCCCAGGCTCTTTGTGTTTGTCTCTCATTGTCTCTGTCTCTTTCTCTCTGCCTGCTGTCTGTGGATCAGGATGTAAAGTTCTCACCTATTGCTTCAGCACCATGCCTGTAGGCCGTCATGCTTCCTGCCATGATGATCATGACAAATCTTCAATTAAATGCTTTGTTTCATAAGAGTTACCTTGGTCATGGTATTTCTTCACAGCAATAGAATGGCAACTGATATAACACAACTTTTTAATTTTGTAATGAAGCTAGGTACTATCATCCTCATTTCCTTTTCCACACTAATATTTTATGTGGTTCTTACTTTTTATCATAAAAGCCAGTTTTGTAAGAACATGTTATTGTGGCCTGGAGAGATGGCTCAGTGGTTAAGAGCACTGACTGCTCTTCTAAAGGACCTGGGTTTAGATTCTAGCACCCACATGGCAGCTCACAACTGTCTATAACTCCAAGATCAGACACCCTCACACAGATTTACATGGAGGCAAAACATTAATGCATATAAAATAAAAACAAATGAATTAAAAAATACAGGTGTTACACACCTGTAATCCCAGCACTCAGGGAGGCAGGGGCAGGTGAATCTCTGTTAGTTCAAGGCCAGCCTGGTCTACAATGTAAATCCAGGACAGCCAAGTCTACACAGAGAAACCCTATCTCAAAAAAACCAGAAAAAAAAAACCCAAATGAAAATGGCAAAAAACAAACAAACAAACAAACAAACAAAAAAACCCAGCTTGTTATCAGGCAAGACACAGTGTTATACACCTATAGTCCTAGCTTCTTGAGAAGTGGAGCTAAGGCAGGAGGATCACTTAAGCCCATAAATTCTAGGCTAGCATAGGTGTTAAGTAAATATCTCATCTTGCAGAAATACCCCACAGTTTTAGCAAATGGCATTAATAAGATGAATGTGGTACAATCTAATGCTTCAGTGTTGAAATTGTGATCTACCTTAAGTTAGAAGTGTGGTGTACAACAGATGTTTATTATCTTATCTCTCTTAAACTAAAGAAAAAAAAAAGAGAGAGAGACGGCTTAGAAGTTAAGAGCACTGGCTGTTTTTCCAGAGGTCCTGAGTTCAATCAATCCCAGCAATTACACGGTAGCTTATAACCATCTATAATGAAATCTGTTGCCTTCTTCTGCCATGCAAGCACACACGCAGGCAAAATACTGTATAGATAATAAATCTTAAAAAAAAATACTAAAAAAGGGACTCTATCATAGTACCTTTATAAACTCACTCCAGAACTCATGGGGACCTATGTGGACAACCTGGGAACTATGGCTTTAGATTTTTGAGAGAAAAAAATTTCAAGAAAGAATATTCATAAATACAGAGAAACTATAGGAGATTAGAAATTTTTAAGGGGCTGGAGATGCTGCTGAGCACTTGCTATTCTTGCAGAGGACTTTAGTCCAATTCCTAGCACCCATATGGTGGCTAACAACTGCCTGCAACTCCAGTTCCAGGGGATCCTCTAAACTCCAAGGACTGCTGTATACACACGATATACATGAACTCACAAAAGAACACACATATTCATAAAGATAATTTTTGTTTACAAATAATTTTCTTAAGCCACTGCTTTTAGCTAGGTGTGGCAGTGCACATCTGTAATTCCAGCACTCTGGAGGCAGAGGCAAGAGCATCATAAGTTTGAAGCCAGTTTGGGCTACATGGCAAGACTCTCTCAAAAAGTACATAAATGAGCCTGGGCATGGTGATGCATGCCCACAATATCAGTACTCTGGAAGCAGAGGCAACAGGATTACCACGTTTGAGGCCCAACAGAGCTGAGGCAGGCAAGCACAGGGGCAAGTTTAATAACCTGAGACTGTAAACAGTTGGCTTACGAACAATCTCCTCTTCTAATGCACTTGGCAGCTGTGGTGATTTGAATGAGAAATGCACACGAAACCCACTCTCCCTGGCATAGGGTCAGGTATTTGCATAATTGATTCCAGGTTGATGGTGCTGTCTGGAGAGGTTGAGGTAGTGCAGCATTGAAGAAGCACCTCAGTAGGGGTGAGCATTGAGATCATGCAGCTCTGTCCTACTTTCACTTCATTTGTTCTGTTTTAGGTTTGTGGTTGAAGATGTGACCTCTCAGCTTCCTTCTCCTGCTACCATGTCTGCTGTTTGCTGTCATGCCTCCCAGCCACAATGGATTCTTCTCCCTCTAGAATCATAAGCCGAACTAAACTTCTATTAAGTTGCCTTAGACAGTGTATCACAGCAATAGAAAAATAATACAGCAGCCTCGCTCCTTTACCTACATATTTTATGTACAAACAACCACCTTTGAACAGTGCACTAAACAATCTTGGATACCCCACCCCCCATCATAGTATCTGCATTAGACATATACCTCTCCTTCTGAACAACAGGATGAGTATCTCCCTCCTTAACAACAATCAAACCTTGACATGTTTATTGTTGTTGTTGTTGTACTTTTAAAAACATGTATATGGGTGTTCTGCCTGCATGTATGTCTGTGTGCCAACTACACGTAGTAACCAAAGAGGTCAGAAAAGGATGCCAGATCTCCTTGAATTGGAGTTATAGATGGTTAGAAGCAGTCACAGGGTTTCTAGCACAGGGTGCTAGAAATTGAAGTGTGAGTGTGTGTGTGTTTTACACATGTATGTGCATGAGTCCATAGGCTTATATATTTAAATGTTTGTTCCCCAGTTGGTGGACTGTTTAAAAAAGACTAGGAGATGTGTCCTTGCTGGAGGAGCAGTGTCACTGGAGGTGACAGTCTTGTTCTGTTTCTCTCTCTGAAATTGTAAGCACAGCCCCAGTTAAATACTTTCTTTTTAAGTTGCTTTGGTCATGTTGTCTCCTCATAATAATAGGAGAATAACTAAGACAGATATATAGTACCAGATCCCTTAGAGCTACAATTACAGGTGGCTGTGAGCAATGGATGCTAGAAACTAACCTCAGGTCCTCTCCAAGAAGACCTGGCTCCTACCACTCCCCTAAGTATAGACAGTTTCTATTCAAATATATTCTCAATGTATCTGAATATGAGAAATAGAAAGGCCAGTTTAACCTGAATTGGTCTAGGGTGCATGTGCAGTAAGACAAACTGTTATCAAATAAACTTTTAGGAAGAATTCCTGATTTACCATCCTATGCCTATGCCTAAATGAGTAGGCACATGATTAAAATCAGATGCATTATGGGAAGGGACATGCATAGTTGGATGATTATATGACCTAACCCTGTCAATCAAAACAGAGAAGTGCCCTTTAAAAACTAAGCTTCTCCTTTTTTCTTTTTTTTCTTTTCTTTTCTTTCTTTCTTTCTTTCTTTCTTTCTTTCTTTCTTTCTTTCTTTCTTTCTTTCTTTCTTTCTTTCTTTCTTTCTTTCTTTCTTTCCTTTTCTTTCTTTCGCTCCAAACAGTAATTGGAGCCCTGAAGAACTTTAACTAGTGTAGCCCACTGTCAATCTCCACAGGGGAACCCTCTCTAACCCATACTATCGGCTGGCTCTTAATAAAGTTACCTTGTTACTTTTGCACGTTTATGTGAGCCCTTAGTTTCAACGCTTTAAAAAAGACGCCAGGAACCTGAAAATACCTGATCTAAGCCTGGCCACTGATAACAGAGCTATAAAGTGAGACTCTGTGTCAATAATCTAATTAATTAATTAGTTAATGAGTAAGTCACCAGTTATAGTGGGAAAAGGCTCCAGGTAAACGAACATTCAAAGTTCAGTAGAATGACAAAATAACGAAATTAATTAACTGGTTTTAAAGAAAAATGTGAGGCTTTATGGAACTTTACTATATGAAAATAAGTAGAATGGCAAGGAAGAGAGGAGGGACAGGATAAAGATAGCAGAAGCATAGCACTTGTCTGGTATGTGTAAGGTCCTAGGTTCAATCCCCAGTAATGGTAAGAATGTGTGTGATAGTGGACAAGAGAACAAGTGCCGGGTTTCAGGGAATTAAGGGAACAAGAGTACTGAGAGAGAAGGACTCAAGAAAAGTCAACAATAAAAAGTAGGATAGTCATACATGCTGATAATCCCAGCACTTGGAGGGCAGAGCAGGAAGATTGCTGAAAATTCAGGGCAAGTCTCGTCTACATAGCAAATCTGAGACCAGCTAGGGCTACACAATCAAATCTCATCCCAGAGGACCCCTCTCAGGGCTAGAGAGACTGCTTAGTGATTTAGAACACTAACTGCTCTTTCAGAGGATCCAAGTTCACTTCCCAGCACCAACATGACAGCTCACAACAGTCTGTCAATCCAGTTTGAGGTGATTGACACTCTTGTTCTGGCCTCCTTGGGCATCAAGCACACAAGTAATGCACAGGCATACATGCAAGCAAAACACCCACACCCATACCCTCTATCACTCCTTTCTTTTCTCCCTCCTTCCCTCTTACAAAAGGAAGGTAGAGTATATGAATATTTAAAGGGAAAACAAATTATATCAAATATTTGGATCTTTCGTCTTTCTTTCTTTCTTTCTTTCTTTCTTTCTTTCTTTCTTTCTTTCTTTCTTTTCTTTCCTTCCTTTCTTTCTCTTTCTCTTTTTTCCAAGACAGGGTTTCTCTGTGTAGCCTTGGCTGTCCTGGAGCTTCCTCTGTAGACCAGGCTGGCTTCAAACTCAAAGAGATATGGCCTGCCTCTGTCTCCCGAGTGCTAGGACTAAAGGCATGTGCCATCACCACTCAGTAAACTTTTTTAAGATGAGCAAAAGCAAGCATGGCTCAGGTAGGACAGATGGATGTATTAGTCCAAACTATCTGCCTAAGTATTCTGCAATGAACTCAAGACAGTATTATAAATACTGTACAGTTTATAGGGAAAGTACAGCAAGAATCAACACCTATTAGACATGAACTAAATCAAGGAGTCCATAGTTTCAGCACTGAAATATTAGGTGACTCTAGCAGTAGTGGTTCACAGGCCACATAGTAGGTTCCAAGCCAGCCTGGATAACAGTGTGATACCCTGTCTGAAGAGCAGATAAAAATAAATTTGGGATTAAACCACATCTTTATATTAATGCTGTCTGTGGTGGTTTGAATAAGAGCCCCACAAGCTCAAATATCCGAATGTTTAGTCACAGGGAGTGGCCCTACTAGAAAAGGATTGGGAGGTGTGGCCTTGCTTTGGAGTAGGTGTGCCCTTACAGAAGGAAGTATGTCACTGGCAGGGTGGGCTTTGAGGTTTCAAAAGCCTCTCTTGGTC